CGTATGTATATTTTATATATATATATATATATATATATATATATATTATATGTAATTTTTGTTGTAAGTTGTAAGTAAAATGTAAGTTTTCTTAAAAAGGTCAAAATATTCTAAATATTCTTAGTTTTTGTTTTTACAATCTTACACCGTTTTTTTACTTTAAGCACTACCAACAATATCAAAAAGACATTTAGGAAATCTAAGTTTCTGAATTAAGTCATTGTTTATTATATAAAAATATGTTTATCTAGTCATTTTATATATCTAGTCATTTATTTGAATTATTTTTATTATACATTTATTTTTAATAATTTAATAACTAAATAGATCTGGACAAAGTGATGTCATTTTCCCATTTTTTACTGCAGCACTCTTTTTTCAAGTGCTTTTCTCAAGGTCACAATAATGACTGGCTTCAGGGATCAAACCAGCTAATTTTTCATTACCAGTACTGCAGCCACAACATTACATGGGATTTACAATTGTAAAATTAAGGATTTAACCCCTTATCATATTGTGCTCTCAGGTAGAGTGGCTACAGCAAACAGAGGACACCCAGATATTAATCAGCCTCCTGCTGCACCGGTCAGTGTGGAGGGCACAAAAGCATCACTCCAGGAAAAGAAGAAACAAAATCAGACATTTGCATCTGCTAAAAAGACACGTCCTGCTGGAAATAAGAGCAAGATTTGGAATTACAACATCAAAGACTGAAAAAAATCATTTTGGGCCACTCCATTTAAAGAACTGTCTCATTTGAAGTGCCTCATTATTATTTGTTCATTTTGCATCATGCAATTTTTTTTTTATATTTGTACCTTTTGTAAATGTTTTAATAAATTATTGCATAATTTGACCAATAGGCAAGTGAGTCTTTTAATAGTAAGAAGAAGCACCTATGATGATAAGGGGGAAAAAATCCAAATCCAGCCATATGTGGTCTTGTGTACAGATAATGTAGTTTCAATTGATCAATAAACCTTTAAATAGGCACATGAACATTTGCTTCAATTTTCCCTTTACGGAATTCATACAAAATATGCATTAAATGTAGTCAGATATGACTCGTATTGTCTTTTTGGCAATATTTTAATAATATGATTGATACACTTTACATTATGTAGTGTCTTTGTAAAATTGAATCGCAGTTACCCTGTGCTGTCCAGCCCCTCATGATGACATCACAGCCTCAGCAGGTGTAGGATTCCACTCCTCCCACTGCATTGTCCTGACATCACCCTATCTCCTAGCAACACCCTTGCATTCATTCTGATTGGATGGTTCTACACACCTCCGCTCACTGATTGGTGAATTTTTTTCACTGGCAACCGTCAAAATGTAATCCGGAGCTCCACAGCGCCGCCAACAGACACCCGGTATAACACAATCTGTGCTGCCTTCATGTGCTGATACTTCTGCATCTAACCAACAGTTAGACGAAAATCAATATAAACAATGTAAACTCAGTATTTTTCACACCAAATGTATAGTGTGCATATTGGACTGCTCTATTTAGACTGAATCCTTTGACATAAAAAAGCCAAATTGTGCATTAATATGACTTGTCCGTGTTATGCAACAAAAAGCACATTGATTCTCTCAGGTTATTCAAAATTGTATAAAAAATGCTATTTATATGAAAAACGACTTGAATGCCTTTCTACAATGTACATGTATAGGAAAATCTGTTTAAACGTTGTAAAATGGTTGAAATTCTTTTTTTTTTCTTTTTTTTTAAGAAATGTTTGGTATGATGCTTAAAGAAATAAAAAATCAGTGAAGCAATTTTGTTTAAAAATATTTTGGAGAACGTTTTGTCCAGCAAATTATTGTCAGCGTAGTGTTGCCAACATGCAGCCATATGGAGTGACTTAAAAACAATCATAAAACACAGAAACATTAAGAAATCTATTTCATTAAGGATTCTTTAGGAAACACTAGAAACCCTAGATTCATGAAAATGTTTGAAAACCCTTTGTAGGAAATTGTATAGTTAAACAAGCTATAATTAAAGCAATAATTATATCCAATAATTATTCATACTCGATGCCATTTCTAATGACAGGTTATCCATACTGTACAAACGTAATGAACAGTTATGACAGATAAAATATCGGTGATGTGTTTCAATATCAATCCAGTGTTGCATGCTAAATTTACCCAATTTCGGATTGTTTGCAAACCGCAGACACTCGACCCTCGTGTCGCCTTGAACTTGAACTTGCTGGCTCAGACCCGTAAAAGAAGAAATTTGTGCTGCTGTGCATGTGATCATGCCGGGATGAACTTTAATAACCCAGTCTTTTTAGACGCCTTTTTTTCTCTGCGGCGGTAGGAAATCAGCCCATCACTGGCTGCGTCTACGGGCCAGCCTCCTCTCTCATTGGACTGCGCCTCAGAGCCAAACTGTCAGCCCATGTGGCGTGGCCATCGAGGATGTCAGACATTTAAATGAAACAGACAGAGGGACTCAGAAGGCGAGAGTAATTTCTAGGGCTTGGCCAAAGGGGGGATCACGAAACTCTCCATTCTGTACCGGGAGCCGACAAAGATTAAGAGGAATATAGAAGTCGACTCTATCCCAAAGGATCACAGCGTTAAACTGTACCCACATCCAGGTAAGAGAGCATATGTTATTAATCGTGTCAGTTCTGGATCTGTAGTTTTTCCAGATGCAGACTGGCGTAGTAAAGGTAGAGTTTCAGGCATGCAACATCGAGACAGTTTTCTATAACACGCAGGGAAAAAATAATATTACTAACGAAACGAATCGTTATTGTGAGTCGGGTCTTTTCAGTGAATCAGCCACAGCTGAATCACCGACTCTTTGAACCGAGAGTCAAAAGCATTTAGAGTGAATCGAGGATTTTACTGATGAGGCAAAATATATGTTAATAGCCGGGCAGCAGAAAAAATACACTGCATATAGCATTTTATTCAAACAAGCAAAACGTTTTTTAACCTAAGATATGTAAATGAATTTAGTTTGTAATGTTAGTGCATGGGATAAAGACGTTGGGACCGCGTGAGGACGTAATTACGTCATGACGTAAAAGAATCACAGAATCGCTGTTTTGGACCCGTTCGAAAGAATCGATTCGCGTAAATGAGACAAACTTTCCATCACTAATTTCAACCGAAGAATACTGGACACCTGTGAGTAAACGTAACCAGCACACTCTTGACCAAATGTGAGTAAACGTTTAGCTGGTGGCTGCAAATTCAGCACAGGATGACAGCATCTCGCGCTATTTCTGGGTGATTATACTAGGTTTCACCTTTGCCTAAGAGAAATAGCATTACACCTTGAATCTTTCTTTCCATAAACAACAAAAAAAGAGGGAATAGATATTAAACCTAACAAGAATGTAATATGTTGAGACGTGGAAAAGTATCAGGGCGAATTGTAGAATCAATGCGGAATTTGTCACTCTGTGAAACCTCCTTGAGTTTTGGCATGTAACCAGTCTATATCACTGAGAGCAGTCAAATTGGAGATGCTTAAAGGGCAGATTTGTCAGGCTATCCATAGTCTAGTTTCTATAACAGGACTCTGTTTACATCAACCTTGGCTTGTCAGGATTAAACATGCAGCCTAATCATCTATGTTTTCCTTCCTTTTTAATTAACCCTTATGTTCATTTGACTGTATTGTTCATATGGGGTCAGGTTAAAAACGCATTACTTGTCGTCTTTCTTATTTAGTAAAACCCAGTAGGTCTGTCCATCAAACCCATCTGTCCATCAAAGATTTTTTGCGAATTCATTGTATTTATTTATGGCCTAAGGCTAGAGTGTGGCTGATGTTTTAAGGACTTTACGACTGTAATACTGTCATCAGCTAATAACAGCACTGCACCATGGGAGCTTGTAGCGAGGCGAGCGGTCAGCTACACATCACTGCCTCGGATCTGGGTCAGGTAGATTACAGTCGATTCGGAAATCCGTTTATTTTCTCAGTCTGCTTCTGCCAAACATAATGTTGTTGTATTTGTGGTTAAATGTTAAGCAATCAGAATGGTAATTTACTCCTAGTACTACTGAAATCCTAACCAGGATAGTGTAGCCTGGTTTACACTAAAATCTACATAGCTGTTTTGTGGTGCTAGTAGTTCTGTCTACTTTATGTTGTGTTCAGTTCATTGACTGCTTTTTGACATGTATGTATTGTACTGTTGCATTAAATAGTACTTTTAGATGACTCACACGCATGCACGTCGTTCACAGACACCTGTGAGCAGAGCACCTGCCCGGCAAAGACTCCTTCCGGTTGTCACTATGGCAACAAAGAGCGCTAATTCCTCCTCTCAGACTTACCTGTCCACTTTTGCGAATTCTGTTTATACAATTTAAAGTATTGTTTTTTTTCTAATTATAACTAAATATAATCTCTAATTATAACTAAATATAACAACAACTGATTTTCATATAAGTTTCATCATATTGAATCTGCTCTCAATGGCTTGTCACCCTGTCAGGTTATTTTAAAGAACTTTGACATCACTTACTACTGTTTAATCATAAAATATTTAAATATATAGTAGACCTTACAACATACATACATACTTATGTGATAGCTCTGTGTGCGAAACAGCCTGAAATTAAGCTCTTGCTGTCCTTTGCACATTAAGACAGCAGATTTGTGAGTGAATCATATGTTTTCCCTTATAAAACAAGAACCAGAATTTCTTTAAAATTTCTTCAATGTCGAAAACAAATGATAAAAAGATGTAAAGTATTAAAGGGGTGGTTCATTGCGATTTCTCTTTTTTAATGTTAGTTAGTGTCTAATGTTGCTGTTTGAGCATAAACAATATCTGCAAAGTTACAAAGCTGAAAGTTCAATGCAAACGGAGATATCGTCTTTTAAAATTCTGGCAGTTTAATGCCTATAGCTGAAGTTTTTTTTTTTTTTTTTTTTTTTTTTTTTTTTTTTTTTTTTTTTGGACATTTGTAATTAAGTTTATTGATTTATGATGCATAATTTCTGCAAAATGATCTGTCCTACTTTTATAGCTACTGGGCACTAATATCATTTACAACTCGGTCATCCTGTGAAAGGTTGTTATGACTAGCTGAATAGCTGTTATGTAATGCATGTTTATTATTGTTTTACGTGCTTCTCTCTATCAGATTTTTCACATATTTACAAAAAATACATTGCGACTGCTGAACTGAATATCTGCATAATAATATTTTCAAAAATTTTCATCTGTAAATTATTCTGTACAAATTCATTTGTACTTATTAAAGTAAATTTTTTTTCTGACTGGTTGAGGTTCATTTTTGGTTATTGTGCATTCTTTGTAAAGATGATAAAATATAGCAGATGGCATTGCTACATTGCATGCTGTACAGCCAGATGAGTTGATTTCTCTCTTGGCATATTTAATGAAGTTTCTGTGGTCCACCAAATTAAAATGAACCCTCCTTTGAGTTTCGAGGAAAGTGGAACAGAGGGATACTTTGTACTTGTCACCGCTTCTTGATTGCATTGAATGAACAGGAATCCCATCTGTGCTGCCACTTTGAGTGCTCTGACCCTGAAACGGGGAACAAAAGTGTCCAGCTTTCCAGGCCACGCCCCCCCGAGCACACTCTCCCACCTATCCCCAGTTTTGCACCAACTCGGTGACCCCAACTCACAGACCGCTGATTTAAAATGAATGACACGCTCGTATTCACACAGTTCTTGATAATGCCAATGTAGATCAAGCTGACAGAATCCTTCTGTTTTTAAAAGGTTTTTTGTTCACTGACTGACCGCTTCTTTCTTTTATTTTTTCCCCCTTAGAATCAAAGAAAATCTAACCAGACATGGAGGATATTGTTATAGCTGGAATTTCAGGTCGCCTTCCTGAGTCTAACAATTTGGAAGAATTTTGGCTGAACCTTTTCAATGGAGTGGATATGGTCACAGAAGATGACAGGCGGTGGAAACCAGGTATGCTAATATTTGAATGTCTTTATCATTTTAAATAACATTTAGACTTAATTAACATGTTTTTTTATCATAATGCTTTTCTTAAGACCACCTTGGGGTTTGTAGTGTCTTTCAACTGCTGGTGTCCTTACCTACCTGGCTGCTGTTCTGTGCTTTTCCTCGTCCGTCTGGCTTTGGGTCTTATGAAGGGCTGGTCTCTCTTCTCTCTGTTGGCACCAAGCTAATACTCTCATTCATGTGCTAAAGCACAAGCAGGCTTAGGGCAATGAGTAGACAGCACTTTTGATTCCCTTTTCCCCTTTTTTTTTAAATTCTAGGTCTGTATGGCCTTCCCCGGAGAAATGGAAAACTAAAAGAAATCGATAGATTTGATGCAGCCTTCTTTGGTGTGCATCCCAAACAGGCACACACCATGGACCCACAGCTGAGGCTTATGCTAGAGATATCGTACGAGGCCATCGTCGATGGAGGTTAGTATCAGCTGCCCTCTTAGATAATATTAATATAAGGTGTTTTGTGGCAGCTAATGCCCTTGAAAAATGTATAGCCTGAATGCAATATATATGTCACTTTGGATAAAAAGCATCTGCCAAATGAATAAATGTAAATGTTATTTTCAGGAGTGTGCTGCTATATGGGTATATGAAATATGGTTGAAGACCTGTGACATTACATGCCACACGTTATTTTATTTTATTTTAAATATTTACTTTATTTTTTTTGGGTCAATAAGTTTTTTTTAATTTTTATTTGTTTTATTATTACTTCTATTCAGCAAGGATGCATTGAGGTGACAATAAAGACATTTCTAATGTTAAAAAATATTTATATCATGCTGTACTTTTGAACTTTCTATTCATCAAAGAATCCTGAAAAATGTGGCAAGGTTTCCACAAAATATTAAGCAGCACAACTGTTTTCAACCATTTTAACATTGATAATAAAAATAAACTTTTCTTGAGGACAAAATGAACATGAGCATATTATACCGTTTTCTGAAGGATCATGTGACAAAAAAACTGGAGTAATGGCTGCTGAAAATTAGAAATGAAAAACAGTTATTTTAAATTGTAAATATTTCACAAGTCTGTGTTTTTGATCAATAAATGCAGCCTTGGTATACAAAATACAAAACTTCTTTCAAAAACATTTAAAAAATGATTATTAGTATATATGGTGCATATAAGTATTTAAATTATAACGGCCAAAGTGATGCCAAATCTCTATGTAGAGCAGTTATAGTGTATTTTTGAACCTAGTTGTAATGTATTGTATGTGTAATGTATTATTTTTCAGTGTTCACTGAATATGTGAATATAAAACATGTTGATTTTTCCTCTTAGGCATTAACCCAGTGTCCATGCGTGGCAGCAAAACTGGCGTCTACATTGGAGTAAGTGGCTCAGAGGCAGGAGAGGCCTTCAGTAAAGACCCAGAGGAGCTGCTGGGATACAGCATGACAGGATGCCAGCGGGCCATGTTTGCCAACCGCTTGTCTTATTTCTTTGATTTCAATGGTATGCAAACATTACAAGTTTAATTACCTACTCAATGCTCACGCACATTGTAGGACAGAAATGAGTTATTCGAACCTTTGTTTTGAAAGACTATCGTCATTTTTTCTGTATGGTGGGATGTGTCGTCTGATGTGATTTGAATAAGTGACTCGTTACACAGTCACGTCTGGTGTAACTTGACTCACACTATCACGTTAGACTGAGACAACCAGTTGAGATGGATTACTTAAATCACTTTATGCAAGAATTCTTAATGTGGTCAGCCATTAACTGTTGTGTTTGATGTACAACAAACTTTCAGGTCCCAGTACAGCCATTGACACAGCGTGCTCCTCTAGTCTGCTGGCTCTGGAGAACGCCTTCAATGCTATTCGCCACGGCCAATGTGATGCAGCACTTGTGGGCGGAGTCAACCTGCTGCTCAAGCCCAACACCTCAGTGCAGTTCATGAAACTGGGCATGCTCAGTCCTGAAGGAGCATGCAAGTCATTTGATGCCTCAGGTGAGATTACGTATGTCACTGTAATGTCTAAAGCTTTCTCAGGAAGCTATTAAAGGAATCTGGTTCTATAAGCATCAATCATTGCATACCAATTATAAGAATATAGTCTTCTAAGTGTTCATACTGAATAATGCATGACAAAAATAGTATTTGAAGTATCATGCTTTATGCAACAATAAATGTTTTCAGCAGAAGTATGCTAATTGCAAGGTTAATTTAGCAATTTTCTGTCCACTTATGATATTAGAGATAAAAATGGTTAGTGTGTTTTTTAATCCAATTTCGTTTAAATATGTCTCTACTCTTGTAGTCCAACAAAATAATGAGTCTGGAAAGAGATGTTAAAAATGGCAGCTGATAATTTTTCTGTTCAATTTGTCAAAATGGAAATCAATAGTCAAGTTGAGCCAGTGTTATTTTAGTATTATTGCCTTACTATTATGAGACTAATATTTTGAATTAGTTTTTATTTTTCTATTTTAGTTTTAGTAATTTTGTTGTCATTTTAGTATAGTTTTATTTTTTTAATTTTAGTTTTAATTATTTCAGTACTTCAAGTTAAACTGAATTGAATTAATGAATGTAAGTGAACTGAAATAACATTTTTTTTTAATTATTTTATTTATATATATTTTAATGGCTTTAATTTTAGTTTTAGTTTTAGTTACCTCTAATAACCCTGAGTTTCACATTGCATTTTTGAATATAATACCTGACGATATATGTTTTGCTAAATATTGCACATTTAGGCAAAAGTAGCATTCCATAAAATTGTAAAAATTTGTGTACTGCCCAAAGTAAACATAAAATGATTTGTGAGTATATTTCTAATTTGCACTGCTATTAAAAAATTTAGTCTTTTTGATACAAATTTTTTTTGTTTAACCCTCTAGGAAATGGCTATTGTCGCTCAGAGGCTGCTGTTGCAGTACTCTTGACAAAGAAGTCAATGGCCAAGAGAATCTACTCCACAGTTCTCAATGCTGGCAATAACACCGACGGCTACAAAGAGCAAGGTAAACTCATCCTTCCTTCCCACAGACATCAAATCTGCCTCAAATCCTCTAGCATGAGTGAAATCAGCTCAGTTAATACCTTCTTACTTGCTCTGGAAGCCTGGCATTACTATAAAAGCTGGCACTACATGTGTCGTAGATGTCGTAGCCTTTCCCCCAGTGCCTCCTGCCACACTTTACACACCAGTGTTTTCAAACATGACACTTGGCTGAGCGTGAGGGCTCAGGGTATTTGAAATCTCTGGCATACGTCTGACATCAGACCCCTCTAGTTCCTGTTGTGCATCATGTGCTGCTACATTGAGGACAGAAGAATCCATGCTGTAGCTCACGTGTGCGTTCCAGAAAAGCATATGTCATAGCTGCTACGTGCAAATCTGCTCATATTTTGGAATGTGGTATGTCTCCTCTTTCCTCAGGGGTGACATTCCCATCAGGTGAGATGCAGCAGCGCCTGGTCCGTTCCCTTTACCAGGATGCCAACATAACACCTGAGCAGGTGGAGTACATCGAGGCCCACGGCACTGGTACTAAGGTCAGTCAATGTGAAATTACACGCATGCATACCTTAAGAAGAGATTTGCTTTGAAAATAAGAATGGGAACAGTTCGATATGTGCCTGATTCACACTGGCCATGTTTACATGCACACCATTTTCCAATTAAGGTCTATATTCCAATAAATAAGTTTAAAAAAATAAGCAAGTAAATAGATAAAAATATTAATTAAATAAATAAATAAAACTCAACAATAATACAAAAAAATAATAATAATGAAAAGCAGGTGTTGTTAAATACTATTAGTCCTAATTCTAGGAGAAAGTGTTTAATTATTACCTTAACTGATTGTATTGCTGCATAGGTAAATACACAGTGATACAAAAAAAAAAAAAAAAAAAAAGTTTTAATATATATATGTATAGCAGGAAATAGTCGTAAAAAAGTACATATAATTTCATGTTTGTTAATATAAAAAATGAAAGATAACTTTAAATATGCATAATATCCTTGTGTATGTAAATACAGTTATTGAGCAATAGAAATTTTAGCTTGTGGTTATGTGTATATTGAAAATAACTCTGCTTTTACAGGTTGGGGATCCTCAGGAAGTGAATGGCATTGTGAGTGTATTCTGTCAGTCACAGAGGGATCCTCTTCTGATTGGCTCAACCAAATCTAACATGGGACACCCAGAGCCTGCATCTGGATTGGCGGCTCTTGCCAAGGTATGTAAACACTTTTTGAACAAGTCTTCCTGCTTTACTTAGCTTTAGCTTAATCAGCTGTTTCTTTAAAAATCTGGATGCTGAATCTCTCATCTTAAATGTGAAGTAAATCAAGTAACTCGTGTTGCATGTGATCAGGTGGTTTTGTCTCTGGAACATGGCGTCTGGGCTCCCAACATCCATTTCCATGATCCAAACCCTGACATTCCTGCTCTGACGGACGGCCGGGCGCACGTGGTGTCAGAGCCCATACCTGTCCGCGGGGGCATCGTGGGCATCAACTCATTTGGCTTCGGAGGCTCAAATGTCCATGTTATCCTGCGTCCACATGGTTCAAAATCACTGGCTCAGGCTGCACAACCTTCAGTCCCCAGACTTCTGCAGGCCTCCGGTCGCACTGAGGAGGCAGTCACTTCCCTTCTCAACAATGCCCAGCAACATAAAGATAACCCAAGCTACCTGTCTCTTCTGAATGATGTGTCTGGAGTTCCAACGGCAGGCATGCCGTACAGGGGCTATGCACTGATTGGAGCACAGGGAGAGCTTACAGAAGTTGAACAAGCCCAGCCCACACCCAGACCCCTCTGGTACATTTGCTCAGGTGAGGGGGCATTTATATTTTTTATGGTGAACTTTTAATTTGGTGAAATCTTATTTCCTTCAACATTTTATATTAAAGCAGCTTGATGTACTACAGAATACATACTGTAACTTGTAGAAACTTCCTGTACCATCCAAAAAGAGCTTTTATTGGAACCAAGCTGCAAAAGCAATGTTCTGATGTTGTCATGGTGAGATAAAAACAAGAAAGCTGGTACAATTAGATACCATTAATCCTAAACATAAAAAGAACTAACAATAAAAGTAAAATTTAGCTTATTTTACATGCAGAAAGGACATTTCTTAAAGGCACAGCAGCCAAAAATGAACAGTTTAAGGTAATGGGAAATTTAAATAAATAAACTAAATCTCAACTAATTACATTTTTATAATAATAAAAAAATATTAAATCGTGTATGTATACAGTGTTGCTTGAAAGTTTGTGAACCTTTAGAATTTTCTATATTTCTGAGTAAATATGACCCAAAACATCATCAGATTTTTTACAAGTCCTAAAAGTAAACAGAGAACCCAATCAAACAAATGAGACAAGAATGTTTTATTTATCATTTATTGAGAAAAATTATCTAGTGTTACATACTATATAATCATGATCATCAAGGCTGCATTTATTTGATCAAAAATACTGTAAAATAATAATATTGTGAAATATTATAATTTACAGTAACCAGTTTCTATTGTAATAAATTTTAACTGAAGAATTTTCAGTAGTCTTCAGTGTCACATGATCCTTCAGAAATCATTCTAAAATACTTCTTATTATTAACAGTGTTGATACTTAATGTGTTTTTTTAAATATTTTTGTTGAAATAAATAATACAGTAAAATGTGCGATATATATATAACCCTTTTAAGGTTGTGATTCAAAGCGAGTCAGTCACCACAATGGAAAGTCTCTCTACACATGATCACATTGGCAGGATTTTTGTTTCTATCTCCTGACAGGTATGGGCACACAGTGGGCTGGAATGGGCCGTAGCCTGATGCAGCTGCCTGAGTTCCGGGAGTCGATCCAGCGTTCGGACATGGCTCTGAAGGACACTGGGTTGTGTGTGTCTCGCTTGCTCATGGACGCTGATGAGAGCACTTTTGAAGACACTGTCCACGCATTTGTTGGTCTTGCAGCCATCCAGGTCAGTCTCCCCCAGCTCTAGAGATACCAAGTACAGTGCCAGTGTGACTGGAACAGGATTGACATCAGCAGAATTTCTCAATGAAAAAATTACCCCTGACAATTTTGGAACTGATGTAGGCCTGCCAAATGTTGCAATACAGTGGCACAATCAGTCATGATTTCAACAGTCGCTCCGTCTGCAAGACTGTCTCATAAAGAGATCCAAAAATGACAATTCTGTCATTATTTACTCCAACCCGCATTTTCAAACCTATATGGCTTTCTTTCTGCTCAAACAAACAGCTCTTTCCTGTGGAACTGGCACACTTGCATATTCAAACTTGTCACGTCACAATCAGTTGTGAGACAAAATAACTGATAATTTTATGATATCATTCATATCAAACCTAGTAGACTTGCTAGTTGTAGTCTCACAATTTTCATGCCGGACTGTCTTTCACCTACCTGAATGCATTCCTGTCAAATTTCCAGGTCGCCCAGATTGACATGTTGCAGAAGATGGGTCTTCAGCCTGATGGGATCGTGGGCCACTCTGTAGGAGAGCTAGCGTGTGGTTACGCCGATGGCTCCCTGAGCCACAGCGAGGCCATTCTGGCTGCTTACTGGAGAGGACGCTGTATTAAAGAGGCCAACCTGCCCCCGGGGGGCATGGCTGCAGTGGGTTAGTGTGGCAGCAGATGCCTTCACAGGCTTTGCTTCATTAATCGGACGCAAAGCGCAAAGCATCCCTCCATGGGGGATTTGCCTAGTTTTTTGTTTAGCAATGTATGCTATAAATTTTTTTTTTTAGCAAGCTTACCAATGGTTCCTTTTACCAACCCTCCCATTATCTCCCCCCTCAGGCCTAACGTGGGAAGAATGCAAAGCTCAGTGTCCACAGGGTGTCGTTCCTGCTTGTCACAATGCTGAGGATACAGTGACCATCTCAGGCCCTCAGGTATATACCCTCTAAGAAATA